CGCAAGAGCGCATGATTTGGCAAGCGCAAGGCTTGGCCGTAAACGGGGTCAAGTTTCCTGCTGCATATGCAGCTCTGCCCTAACGCAGGTGATGCCGTCGATGAGAATGCAAGGAGCTGCAATGAAGCGTTTGCTCGTTTGATTTGTGCCGCTAACCGTTTGCCGGCATTAGCTTTAAAATGGATTGGGAGGAAGCCTTATCGAAAAAACTCCTCGTCAGGTCTAGGATGCGGCCTGAGCTAGGGGAAAGGGTTTAAAGAATTGGAAAATGGACTGCTGAGGGCGCAACCATTTTCACTCAGCACGTATACGTGTTTTTTTTTTTTTTTATTAAAGACGGGTTTAAAGGAAGTGAATATTTTGGTAAGATGCGACGATTAAATGAAAAGTGTTCACAAAGTCGAATATGTCATTTATGGCTCACAGTCAGACCTCGTAGCGGGGATAAAATAGCCGAATTTCAATGGCCCTGCAACCATTCCAGAATTAGAGGTCAAATGTTTTTTCTACTCCACTGCACGCACTGACCTGTTTCTTCCTGCGCATATCGTGACCTTAAATTAATCTGCATTTAAGAAATACCCAACCGGAATAACATTTTTAAGGGTTGGCCGATTATCGATTTGCACTGTGTTTGTGAGGCGCTCAGAGTTGAAAATTCACATGGTGACTCCCAATGGCCTCCTCATAAATCCGGTCGGTATTCGCTAGAAACAGACATGTGGGTCAGGCGAAATCTGGGCGTATCGGTTTTTGGGTTTTATCGATTTTCGGCGCTGTTTAGGGGTTCGTGGTCATGAAAATTCTGGACAAAACTTCTAATGTTAGACTCTAAGAGGGTTTCAAATTTAGTTGAAATGCGATCCTTCATGAAAGGAAGTGAAACGGTAGAGAAAGAGAAGATAGCTGACTGTGTTTAGTAGAGAAAAAAGGAGCCACATTTAAGAATGTTCCGGAGAATCAAGAGAGTTCACAAAGGAAGATGTTCCCGAATATAAATAAATGTGGACACAAGTGTCCTTCCTAAGTATAGAAAGATGAATATAGAGAAAGAGTGCTAAAATAAAGATGTCATTTGTCACCGGATCGTTTTTAATTTGTTTTTAATCAATTCACCCAAACAAGACCGTTAAACCAATAAAACACAAGGGGATGCTGGGAAGGAAAGAGAAGTCTTTAAAAGGAACCGGGAACTGAATAATAGTATAAAATTCAGTGTTTAGGAGAAGACGATGGAAGTAAGGTTTTGAAGTAGATTTTAGAATGAACCTGAGACCAAGTACTAAAACGGAAAATAGGGTAAACTTCTTCTCTTCTTCAAAAGACATGGGAGAAGTGTGAACGGAAAACATCTACTCTTATTACCGGAGCAATTATACGATCCAAAGAAAACTAGAAGAGCTACCAGTCGGGCATAATCTTAACAATATGAGGGACGTAGATGACGCTCTTTTAATGGCAGACTCAGAAGGAAAACTGAACCCTTGAACTATTAGATAAGATAGTAAGCGATTAGATGAGTGACTGATTTTCTTAGCAGCATATCAACAATTATAGGGGTTATTTAATGCCGGAATCTAAATATATTCATTGCAATTTGTATGGCAATAATTACAAATATTTTGGACATAATTTTGACAAAATTCTGGAAAACATAAAAAGGAAAGAATACTTGGAGAATTTAACACTCTGAAGACATACTGAAGATAAGAGAAGCAGTGGAGAAACAGTAAATAACACATTTAATACGTTTAGGCGAATGATTGTTAGGACAGGGTCAGAGCAATATACTAATGTGTCAAACGTTGATTAGAGCTACAAGGGTATGGACGTTGTAGAGAACGATAATTACGTCACATAAAAGGGAGTGTCATGGAAAACTGGTACAACATCAACATCATTTCCTACTTCCATTTCTCTTTCTAACAACATATGAGAGTATACACACACACACACACACACACACACACACACACACACACACACACACACATATATATATATATATATATATATATATATATATGATGTCATAGCAAAATTGTCCAAATCGTATAACAGCACACACACACACACACACACACACACATATATACACATATATATATATATATATATATATATATATATATATATATAAATATATATATATGATGTCATAGCAAAATTGTCCAAATCGTATAACAGCATAATTTTTCATCCCACAAAATGTTTATTATCTAAAAAAGATTCTCAACTAAGAGAGTTTCTTTTTCTAGTTTTTCAGCTAAGATGTTTAGCCATCTTGACAGCATTTTCTTAAGAATTACTGGAAAACATTTTGAGTAATTCAGCTAGAAAGAGAACAGGTTAAAATCGTTTTGTATCAGACACACTGTCTTCCCAACTGAGCAATGGTGATGGAAAAAGTTCATTCCGGCCTTCAGTAATTGTTTCAATCTTCAACGTCCATTCAAGAATCATCAAGAGAACGGTTATTCAGTTTTTTTTTAAAAAGGCTACAGTAGAAAGGAAAACTGGACCAGGATCTCACAACAGGAAGAGGGATCATCATCTTAACTTAGAGATATAGAGAGCATTGAGAAAAGATCCAGATCAATCCATGAGGTGTTTGGCTCGTGAGACAAGAATTTCAGTTATGACAGTTCAAATAGCAGTTAAAAATACTTGAAAATGATATCGTACGTGAAACCTGTGAGGCGACTTGTTACACCAGGACATAAAGTTAGAAGATTAGATAGGGTGAAGATCATCTTGATCAAGTTGGAAAATGATCCTGAAATAATATATATTGATTTCATTTTTATTTTAAATTTTCATGAGTTTCAGATCCTTAGCTAAGATTAATTAATAATTAACAAATCATTTTCATTTATGATGGATTTCATTACAATTCTTCTGTTAAGCTTGGAGAGTAATTATACATTCTTTTTGTTCAAAGTATAGCCAATACTGTTATCAAATCCTCGGATAATTCCAGGAAGATATCTTTAATCATTTCTAAGATAGAATGGTTTAAAGCTTAATCTAACAATTAAACATTTTTGTTGTTACATATATATATATATATATATATATATATATATATATATATATATATATATATATATATATATATAGAGAGAGAGAGAGAGAGAGAGAGAGAGAGAGAGAGAGAGAGAAATAGATCGATAGATAGATAGATAGATATAGTTATAACTGAATAAAGAAAAAAGGAAACTAATCTTAGCCGATGCATTTCGCCCTCTGAAGGATTTAAAAAGGCAAATGCGGGCAGCTTTGCTAAACGTGCCAAAATACCATGGCGAGGCAACCTTAGCAAGCGTTGTAAAAGTGCCTCTGCGGCAAAGTGAAAGCGGGAGGAGTATACCCAGGTAGACAACTCTCTGAGGCTTTACAGTCAGTCTCAACGGAGGTAGTATGTTTTGTCACATGAAACAATTGGTGTGCGTAACTACCGTTTGTACTGCAAATCAGTTTACACATATTCGTTGAAAAGTAAGAGGAAACTACCAAAACTCTTGCAAGACAACAAAAAAAAAAAAACGGCTTCATCACAAGCGCTTTTGCGGTCGAGACTGAGCCCGCATTGAAAAACTACTCGGAATGCAGCCGACGCCGCTGCAAATTCTATTCGACGGTACCAGGTGACCACGGCTGAAAAAACTGCACGCCATGCAGCCGACGCTGCTGCAACTTCTGCTGCAAGAGACAAACAGCTATGTCCTCAGTTTGAAGTATGCTCTCGAAGAAAACACTTCCTCTGATATCATTACTGTAATTGATGCTGACAAACGGCCTCAGGGAGAGCACGAACGACGTTATAATGATTTCGCAAGTAACGAAGTTTCCGACAATGTCAGCCGTGATCAGCACAACAGACATGAAATTGTTATCGAATCGCGCGGCAGTGGGCTCCGAATAATCAGTGAAACGCTCCGGTCTTACGATGCACTGCAATACCCACTTCTCTTCCCTTACGGAGAAGATGGGTACCACTTTGGCATTCTGTAAAATGGGTCCACTTTAAAAACAATGTCTTGCAGGGCTTTCTACGCCTATCAATTGATGATACATGAGGGTGCATTCAATCATCTTCATTGAAGTCGGCAATTTTTCCATCAATTCATAGTAGACATAGCTGCTAAGATGGAATCCGAAAGACACTGTTGCATCAGATTGAATCAGACCAATTTGCGCTGCGACTCTTACATTCATGTCCGTGATGCTTTACGAAACGACGCTGATCCACGCAATATAGCCAAGATGTGCATACTACTTGCAACATTCACAGGCAGTCCAAGATACATGCACGCGAGGATGCAAGTCGTGATGATATACGTTCCTAAGTACGGCCGACTAGACCTATTCATAACTTTCACGTGTAACAGAAAATGGTACGCAATTGCTAACCGACCAGACCTTATTGCGCGTGTTTACCATCTGAAGTTGGGAAAGTTAATGGATGATTACAAAGGGCAAGATTTTTTGTGACTGTTTGCTGTCGCGTGCACACTAGTGAGTGGCAGAAACGCGGCCTGCCTCACGCATATATACTTATTTGGCTGTACGACAAGATTGAGGCCACAGAAATCGATCATCTTATTTCTGCTGAAATTCTTGATCCGTCGGCCGACCCTGAATTGTACGAAATAGTAACAACCAACATGATTCATGGTCACTGCGGGCCGCATTACAATTACACCAGCTGTCACAACAACGACGGCAAATGAACCCGAAATACCCACGAGATTTCATGAGCGAAACAATTACAGAGAGCGATGGTTATCCACTGTACCGGGGAAGAATTTAGAGCCGTGTTAAAGGGCCACCAAGTGGATAACAGATGGGTAGTGCCATACTGTCCCCTGCTAACTAAACCGTTCAATGCGCACATCAATGTTGAATATTGCCATTTAGTTCGGTCCATAAAGTATGTATATAAGTACATCAACAAATGGACTGATGCTGCAATGTTTGGTATTAGGCATGAAGGTTCCATGAACGAAATCCAGGACTTCCTTGCAGAGCGCGTCATTAGCAGCATAGAGGGCCCTTGGCACATATTCAGCTTCCCCATCCACGAACGCTTCCCAGCCATCTTCCAGCTTGCAGTGCACCTAGAAAACGGCGTACTTCGTTATTTTTCTGCGGATACAGCAATGGATGTGGTTGCGTGTAACAAAGACACAACGCTTACAGCGTCCTCCAAACTTTGTAAACAGGATGAATTTGCTCGGACTCTTCTGTACTCAGACGTACGTTCATACTACGTGTGGACAAATAAGGACACCTGGGCGGGCGGGAGTGCGGGAGTGCGGGGCCAACTTCGAGGGCTATCCAGATGTCAAAAGAAACGCCACGCGTGGAAGGGTATTAACGGTCCCCCACTGTGACAGGAATGTTTTTACTTGCGACTCCTTTTGCACGAAGTTAGTGGTCAAACGAGCTACAATAAATTACGGACGGTTAATGGAGTTTTATGTGGCCCAAGGAGAAACGCAGTCATTCACTGGTGTACATTTAGAGGGGCAATGCTTCTCACACAGCCAACTTTACGTAGCCTGGCAAAAAGCTAAAAATGTGGTCTACATTGAAGCCCTCAGCGAGTGATACGCAAACTCCATTCCATTTTTCATTTCCATACTTCTGGAATTGAGTACACCATATCAACGACTACTAGAATCAATCATCATCATTCCACCAAAAACAAGGGTACATCTTAGACTTCGGCCTGCAAGAGAGTCCGCTTTGAGAGCAAGAAAGACCCGCGAGTCCCAGGAGCAGACTAAAATGCGACTATCAGAGGTCGCTTAAAGCAAGCCCTCACGCAGGCCTCGCATTCACAAGAGGAGCGTGCCACCTGCTTGCCCGGGAAAGCTGCCTACAGGGTTTTGTTACGATCAAGGCTCAAGAATAAACACACAGGCTGCATCAACCGCCTCTGCATCTCGGGCTTCCGAGACTCATCATCAAAGGCTTGTTCGTAACGTAAGAAACGCTGCTGCCACTGCGACATCCAGGGCAATAGAGACACTTGACCGCAGGCGCGCCCATCAATCCAGGGACGCTGCTGCAACAGAGAGCGCAAGGGCTGCTGTGACACAGCTCCGTAGGTCATGTCGAAATGCTAGAAATACTGCCACCACTGCCATGTCGAAACATTTGACCGCAGGCGCGCCGGTCAATCCAGGGACGCTGTTGCAACAGCTAGGTCGAGGGAGCTGCAGCGGACAACACGCAATGCCCGCAACGCTGCAGCGACGTCTGCTGCCAAAAACAAGAGCAAACAGACTTTCAAGAGCTGCTATCAACATTGCCGCTGTGGCGCTTATTTCAAACTCTCCAAGCTCGCCGCATACGCCTCGACGGCAACATTCAACGCCTTGTTGCCGCCCGTAGTATTAACTGTCCCAACAGGTTAACAACTACATTCGCAGGTTCAACCGTATGCTATGGAAAATGCCCCTTTCCTTCCTTCATCACTGTAATTGACAAACGGCCTCATGATGAACACGAACGCCGCTACAGTGGCAGCTATTATACATGGGGAGCAAGACCGCACACGCGATATTGTCCTCAAATCAAAGGCGGGCGCTCTTCACCGGATTTCAGAGTCTCATCGATCATATGACTTATTGCAAAACGTACCCTTTAGTTTTCCCTTATGGCGATGATGGCTACCACTTCGGCATTCCCCTTCATACTCCGGGTGGCTAACCTAAAACGTCTTCCAAAGCCTTATTGTTTAATGCAAGGCCTTCCTTATACCGTTTCATGGTTAGGGATGGAGAATTCAACCTTCAGGGAGATTTTAGACCAGTTTGCGCTGACATGACCGCTAAGATGGAATCGAGAGCCTTTGTTTTATACGGAATCATCAGAAAGAGCTGCGCTCAGACTCTTCGTACACTTACGCGACAAAAGCCTTCGAAATGAAGTCAACGTGTGAACTCCTACCTTCACAGGATTACACCTACAGAGACATGACATTACCGCCCGAATCGTATTCCGCTTAAAACTGGGAAAACTTATGGAATTAATAGTAAAGGGGCAGATTTTTGAGCCTGTTAGATGTGACATGTACACTTTTGAGTGGCAAAAAAAAAAAATTCCCAGCCTGCTATCTCATGGCCACGTACTTATTTAGCTTTTTTATACAAAAATTGACGCCAGTCAAATTGACAGCGTCATTTCTACCAAAATTCCGGATCCGATGAGGCCAGGAACCTATTCGAGGCTGCGAGATCCCACATGGTCGATGGTCCATGCGGTCCAGGCTACGAGGCCAGCCCTTACTGTCAAAACGGTGCACCGTTCTCTAAGGGGTTTTCTTAAGACATTTGGTGATTAGACGCAAACCGACAAGAGGCGGGCGAACGATACATGTTGGCAACGCTGCGGGTGACACCGTCTTGACAACAGTCTGTGTAGTCCCTACTGTCCCCTTCTCCGAAAAATATTTAATGCTCATATAAACGTTGAGTTCTGCAATTCCATCCGCTCAATTAAATACGTATGTATGTACGTTAACAATGGAAGTTTCAATGCCGCTATGTTCAGCGTTATGGGGAACAACGGACGAGACGAAAAAAATTTTATGTTGGTCAGTATTTGGCTGCGCGGTACCTCAAAACAAAATGGCGGCAATGAGGAAGTAGTTAAGAATAGTATTCACGATTTTGGCGCGTTTTCGTCTTCCCAATTTGAGGCATCAAAGAATCCTACTGCTAGCAGTGCACTTATTCAAACCTGAACGGACAGCGGATTTATTTCACTGAACGAAAACATTAACAGACTTTTTTAAGTTGTGCCTTCATGATGAGTTCGCTCGAACTTTGCTATTCCATCATACTACGTTTGGGCGAACATTATTTGGAGTGGCAAGAAGTCGGGTTGACGGGTAACCCGGCATTAGGTTTGATATCTGCCTTTGTTCGGGTCTGCACTCGGTTCATTAAAATGAATGCGTCACAATCTAGTTGAGGTTTAAAAGTTAAAAATAAAACGAATTCACTGTTTTGATTTTCTGTTTATATTCTAACGTAAATAAATATAGATATGCTTTTTCTCAATTTTAAAAATTAATTTTAAAGTATCTAATAAAAAATGTTTAACAAACACATATTTTTTATATATTGTAATAATTTAAATAATTCATTGTTTTTTTCATTTCGAATATATTTATTAATATAATCATTATAGTAATGGGTACACGTTAATTTGACTGAGATGTCAAATTAAACATCTGTACACTCTAAAATAACTAAATAACTGAAATAAGTAATAATGAGCAACATTATAGTAATATATATTAAAGAACACTAAAGCAATCTATATTAATAAAAGCTGGCCGCTCGTATCCAAGCATTCCTGTCTACCAGGGCGGCTAACCAATACCTATTGCTGACGCCTGCTCAGGTACATTTGTGTCTGTTTATCCAGCACTCACAGAATGGGTAATACTGCAACTAAGCTTAGAGGACCATTGTTAAAGTTCTGCAGGAGCTCATTATCTGGCCTGATCAACAGTCAGAACAATGACTTGTAATTTCATGCTAGAACAACCACCGAATGCAACCAATTAATTCCATCCACCCAATTTCACTAGGGGCTTATCTGAGCATTTAACATAGATATGGCGGTAGAATAGCGATAGGCTTGCGTTGGTGCATGTATGGTCAAGTGGTAGTAGAAAGGAAAAATAATTCATCGCACGCAAGTCTGCATCAATGATTTTGAATTCTGCCAAGGCTGGAATATGAAGATTAGGCAGCTGAAGCGGAGCTATGGCAGAAATACACTATTTTTGGTATGATCTCACTTTTGTCAAGATAAAGCATGTCAGAAAGTGTCAGGTATTTTCTGGAATGGTACATGAATCCTACCATTTCTCCAGCATCGAGATGGATTTTACATAAATTTCACTTGAGTTCTGAGTCAACTTCTCTCCAACGGATATTCAAACAAGGAGCATCATTGAGAGGGGAACTCTTTATTTTGACTAGAGTAAATTCAAGGTCAAGACAAGTAGTCAGCTGATGACGAAACTGAAAGAGAATTCGAAGTATGTCCTGAATTAATGAACGCTTGATATGTGAGATCAAATGTCACCATTTTAAAAATGAACTAATGCTACATTTTTTTACAATAATAACTGGCTATATTTTTCAAACTTACCAAGACAAGTCATATATATCATTCATGATTACATTTTGCCCAAATTTATTTTTCTTCGTAAAGGCTACGTGAACTGTACAAGGCCCAAAATCCACGCGAGGTAGAGAGTTACTGTGTAATGTTGGATTAGCGTAAGAAAGGGCAAGTAGTGAAAGAAAGATAACGGTTAACCCTAGACTTGAATCGTTCAAGATTGTAGTGATTGGGAAAAATACTTTGGAAAAAGCTATCCGAATGAAACTTAATTTTATTTTAGGAATACGGATGATATCGGAATGATTCACCATTGAGTACGTGACATAACGGTTCCGATTTGTAAAGATCAGTTTAGTTGGGTCTACAAAATGTATCTCGTTAGAACACTTGACATGGATAGATCAGCGGAGTGACTGGTAACATTTCGTCTGCGAGAAAGGATTTGTAGGGTAGTAATGAATCACCCACAATGTCGTGGGTGGATGCATTTGAATTCTATCAAGACAGTCAAGTGAGGTCTGGGTAGTTCCAACCTAGATATAGCAGTAAAACTACATTTTTATCTGATCTGGCTCTTGCAAAGTTATTCGCACCTAGCGTAACGGAAATTGTAATCGCCAATAATAATGGCTTATTAAAAACATTGATATTAAAATTATTTTTGGGAGATGATAATGATTTATTGATACAAGTCTTACTAATTAATCCATAGCTGGAGGAGAAGTGGATTCACGTCTTTCCCAAGAGCATTCGCTTGTAGGCAACTATAACAGACTCAACGGAAATTGAACTCGTTATCCAGCACAGCACCTGCATATCGAAGTTTACAGCAACTGCTATTCCCAAGAGATCACCCATCTAGGTACTGGCTAGGCTCGGCGTTGCTTAACGTTTGAACGTGATGTGGCCGTAAACCGGCATTAAGAATGAGTTAATGTAATTTTTTTTTATGGTAACATGTTTCTTTTATTTTCTGCTTATGGAACTCAATTTTATTAAACAGTATAAACTTAATTATGGTAATATCAACTGACATCCATTAGACATGGCACGTGGAACTCTAACAGTCTACCCCAGTGAGTGAATTAAATGTTCACTTCGACATTCCAACCAGCTGTAGAAGGCCGGAGCCTATAACGTCAGAAACGTTGTAATAATAAATATGGCGACAAAGATGAAGACAATAGTCCAAATAATGATAATAAGTATCCTTTTTGTTCCCATTTTCAATAAAACTTCATCGTTGTTCATTTGATTGATATTCTCAGCATTCTTCTGTATAACCACATTTCTGTTGTTTAAAAGTCTTTTAACCTGGGAGGAGATTTGTTCAGCTTTCACTGATCTATAGTAGAACTGATAGTATATAATAGTTCAATAAAATAAAAAAAAATCATAATAATCTTCGATTTGAACTTCGTTCGAAGCTCTCATCTCTTGCATTGGTGGGAATATAAAACATTTCTTTCCTGTGACAAGGGCCTTAATCGGTTTCATTCACCTGGGAACAATGCCAAATGATTATCGCATAGAGAGAGTAAATAAGATGAAGTTGTTGTAGTTATCTTTCAAAAGGCAAGTGCCTCTTTCATTCCTTTGAATATCAGCTTTCAAAATATCAGTTTTTAAGTTGGTTCGAACATCACTGCCGGACAATACACATGCATCTCAAAAGGCCATTGTCGACTTTTTATAGTTTGTTTAATTACCAGCAACATGCTTTTCGTTTCATCAACATTAATTTCCGACTCTTTTAAACAATTTCTGAGATATTTGATTTATTTCGGCAAAAACAAAGAACAAATGTAAAGGAATATCTTGCAACAGGAAATAAAGACCAAAATTTAATTTAGATCAACTGAATGTAACAATGAATTTCAATCGTGGAATGAACGCATACATTATTCAACAAATAATTCAATAAATATTGTTTGGAAATTGGCTGAAACAGACGAAGATACCATAGAAGACGAAACATGAAATATGAGATGGAAAACAGGGTAATTGTGTTTGACAAAAATACCAAGGCTTCATAAAAAGATCGCCTAAAGCGAAACGCTTTTTGACGGAAATATTACTTTGAGAATGATTTAACTAATGATTTCAATTAATTTATAAATAAAAATAGTAATATATAGTGTAAAAATGTGTGAAAGCCTCACTGAGAGCGACAGTGGAAAAGATATAACGGAAGATTAAAGAAAAATCGTAAAAAACAATAAATATCTAAAGCACATTGCTTAATC